TCATACAGCCTATCCAACACGTGCTTTAGTGGCGCCCTCTCGAGCCGTCGACACTGAGTGCGGCAGCCGTGAGCGCTTGATGAGCTCACTACCCCTCCTCCATTTCACGGCCACTCAAGCCAGGACCTACGACGTCATGAAGGAGGTTATTTTTTGCTTGTTTTTGTAATTCTAAATTGCCTATAACTTTTAAAATAAAGTAAAAATTAAGAAAAGAGATGTTTCATTAAGTAACTACGTTCAGTGCGCTCAGGATCGGTGCAACTTAAAGACCAGCCAAAAAGTTGTTGCAGGGCCCCTTTAAAGGGATACTTCAACGAAATTTGAAATATTCCCGTCGTGTTCAAAAATAGGTTGAATATGATCCACAATATCCGTAAATGACAATCGCATGTTTGTATTTTGATCCTGGTGGCTGTATTTTTCGTTATAAACGGCCCACTCTGGCAAGCGCTCGGAGAAGGCCCAGCCTAGAGCACGTGACATCCAACGCAATCGTGACGTAGGTCGTCTCAAGACGAGCAAAGCTACGGCGAGGCTGACGTCGAAAGGATGGCCTAGTCGTTCCAGCCACCGAAGCGGCTGCTTTTGTACGAATTTTGAGTGATGGGTTAATCTTCTATAATCTTCTAGGGGGACAATAGCGACTTCTTCGACACACAAAAGGGATTCTCGGGAAGAGGGGAGTTCCTCCTTCCCCCCTTCTCTCGTCGTGGCCGAAGACGAGACAACCTCCGTAACTAGCTGTCAAGGTTCCTAGACGAGCATTACAAACGAGGCGTTAGCGACATCCACCAGGTGCTCTTTGCTAATCGTTTAATTTGTTTTAAAATTCCTTTTCGAGACTTTTTTAACAAGATATTGGTATGTTCCATGTGATACTGCTCTTTTGAACACATATAGACCAAAAAATGAGCGCCGAAATTTCGTTGTAGTATCCCTTTAAGTAACTTCCTTTTTAGCACACTTTTTCAGTCTTTGCCAACTCTGTGTTTTTTTTTGGACTTACATAAATATGTTACTCGACTTAAAGGGATAATGAACCAAATTTCGAGCTCACAAATGAAGGCTGGACGGATAGGCAAGATGCTGCAAAACCCAAAACCATCACTCATACAGCGATATCTCTAACGGATCGCCATATTTTTGGAAAAGAGGTACGCTATTGAACACTGCCGACGAGGCCACCATTCTCATTCCATCTCCTCCTCGCTACGTCCCTGTGAGCTGGTGAACCAAAGCGAGAAAAAGAGAAGTGAGGCCACTTCCCCTCATTCTCAAATGTTCCAGGAGGACAGTGACGTCATTAGCCTCGCTTAATTGCACCCTTCTTTTCTAAAAGTATGGCAATCGGTTCGAGATATTGATGTACGAGTGATGTTTTGGAGTTTGCAGCGTCCCGCTCAATGCTTCTGCAGCCCTATTTTCCGAAATCGAAATTTCAGTTCGGTATCCCTTTAACTGCTCATTCAATGTTATATGGGCAGAAACATGTTTTGTGAAACATACTCTACAGAAGCATACTCTAAGGTTCCGACAGAACGCTTGCCCCCAATGGATCGCCCATCCCGTTTTTCTGACTGAATATCTGTAACATAAAAATTAATAAACATCGCCCACCCCCGATTTTCTTTGTATGTTGCGCAACGTCCGACCGGTATCGCATCAACCGCACAATTTGCTGTACCGGCACGTCTGACAAGCGAGTTCATAGGGGATTCCCACGTTTTTGTCCGTGATCTGCACGCACAATATCGGCTCCCGTAACACGATACTTGTTCCTGCATGTATGTTGCACCATAAAATGCAAATCTGCTGCATCTGCAATCTGCGGTATCCATTCCCACGACATAGTTTGTAGCGGATTCCCGCGTTTTTGGCCGCGATCTGCATGGGCTACCTCAATTCCACGCAAGTTGTTCTCGCGTGTATATTGCATTGTGAATTCTGATTCTGCTGCGTTCGCATTCTGCGGTATTTGTTCCCGTAACATACAAATTTGTAGCGAGTTCCCGCGTTTTTGCCCACGATCTGCACGCGCGATATTGGTTTTCGTGACTTGCAAGTTTGTAGCGGAGTTCCTTGTGTTTATTACACCATAAAACTTGAATCTGCTGCGTCTGCGATTTTCGGTATTCATTCCCTTGAGTTGCGAGTTCCGAAACATCGCTCACCCTGATTTCTTTGCTTGAGTTGCTTGAGTTCTCGGCGGGTTTTTGCGGGTCCTTCGCACCATGAAACGCGAATCTGCTGCATCCGCTACCTGTCGTATCCTTTGCCGTGACACAGGGGTTCGTAGCGAATTCTCGCGTGTTTTTCGCATTATGAAACGCGAATATGCGGTGTCCGCGATCTGCGGTGTCAGTTCCTGCGTCACGTGGCTTGTAGCCGATGTTGGGGTGTTTATCGTTAATTTTTGATAATGTTTTTCTGGGGCATCCCCATGTTTTTCACCATCTATCTCTTCATTTTGGAAGGGCGTTCTTTCGGAACTTTTTAATAGTTATACATAAAAGTCCTACAGATTAGGTTGACTTCATGGCTCTTAGAATGCAAAATATTGTCTGTTTAATATTGTCTCTTAGAATGCAAATTCAACCACACTATGGTTGAATTTGCATGTTATGCTCAACACGGCTTGAGCTACAGGCCTCAAAGGGTTCTGTAGCCTGAATACATAACTTTGACATACAGTCTCGAACCCCACTGAGACTTCTACTCACACAAATAATGATTAGCATAAACTCGTAAAGAAGGAAACTAAAGTCATAACCCATATCAAGTTCAAACCAGCCACAGTAAACCAGCAGCAAGTGCTTAAAGTGGCACAAACCTAATACTGGCACAAGGTCAACTTGAGTGAAACAAAAGTGCAAATTCACTAAGAATTTAGTTGAACAATATGAAACATATAATAATGGTCACACAGTACAGAAAACATCAATTATGTCATTACCCACCCGAAAGTAAACCAGGTATTGCAATTTTCAGGGCGTGACTCTTGTTTTGAGGCTTTTGAAGATTACTGAGCTGTTGTCGATAAATTGGTAGAATGTCATAGAGACGTCGCAGAACATGTGGAAATACAAGTGGTAATTTTTTATGATTTTCATCATACGCATGTTCACAATCAGAACATGCGTATGATGAAAATCATACACATGTTCTGATTGTCTTGGAAGAAAAACCGTCTTGTCGCAATCACGGTGTTTACGCTGGTGTTCATAGAAAGTGACACTTTTTGGCTTGGTTTTCTCTCTTTTTTGTCCTCTTTTTTTCTTAGTATCTTTCTCTTGACACACTCTCACACAAGGCTAACACTCTTTGCACTGCCCTAAGCTGTTGTTTTCATTGGGGTTGCTGCTTTGTTGACACTCCCTGTTGTGGGTTGCTTGTACTGGAATGTTGTGGAGGCTGGGTACAGGCAGCGACACGGATGTACTGTGCGCTTTGAGCCAAGCTTCTTAATCGGTGTAAGACACGGGGACCAACTGTTCGCTATGGACTGTGATGCCTGATGACAGCTATAGAGGTGGAGGTGGTGGCACTTGCAGTGCTAATGATGCCTGAGAAGATGAGCTCTCCCTCAAGGGTACTTGCACCGCCCTGCTTCATTTTGAAATGCCTTGCTTGCTACTTGCTGCATGTGCTTGCTGCAACCATGACTTGTCTGTAATATTACCTCTTTCAAAATGTGCAAGGGGCATTTACAACGTTCTGCACGCTGCACATGCGCAGCCAGACGGATGATGCATTATTTCTGATTGTTGCTCCTGTTAGGAGCCAGACTCCAGTCTAGAATGGTGTGTGTACAATTGCTGCTGGATTACAGGTTCGTGTTGCGAGAAAATGGACCTTGATGTGGTAGAAGATTAGGACGGTCAGACCCCATGCAGTGACTTGCATTCGCTTGGAAACTTTGTGTCCGAGAGGACCTTTTTAAGAGAAGGATACGACTAAATGTTTCCGCAAGTCGTTTTGCGCCAAAAGATTTGCCAAGGAAGGCCCGATACGCCGCGTCTTCATTTTGCATGACGTGAGGCTCCATGTTGTCCGTCTAGTAAGTGAGATACATACTTGAAAAGTATGGATGGGAAGTGCTTCTCCACCCCTTATGCACACTCGATGTGAGCCTAGAAGACTTTGACTTGTTTTCAAAAGTCAAGGAGTCGCAAATCACCGTAACATACCGGCAAGCGCCCACTCAAAATTTAGAGATAATCGCGAAAAAATGGGGGATGGGCGCTGGTCCGGTCATCAACTTTACATATCAATGTACTGTGGATATTTTCTCAGATCTTGCAAATTTGTGAATGGGTGCTTAGTGTGGAATGGGCAGATGCGCAATATTCTGCGGCAGTTGTTTTTTATACGGTTGGTCATGTTAGGTATGTAGACCAAGGCAACCTCAATTGAATTGTGCACTTGCGTTGTTACGAACATCTCACGAGCTGCCTGAAATTTCCTTTTGTTGCAGTGGAGCTGGTTTCTCCAAGTGATTAAAATCCTTATTTTCGTTTTAATTTTTGTTTCTGATGCTGAACCCACACCTAGTAATTTAGCTTTTCTTTTTCATTGCAGACTGGATTATGCTAGTGAGCATAATCAGTCTGGCTTACTCTTTCTGGTATAAGTAGACTGTTTATTAAAAACATGAAGGAGGGTTTTTGAAAACCTTAACTTTGTTTATAAAGATGTTATGCACTTTCACAGGCACTTAGAAACGAATTTACTGCACCTAAAACCTGCAGTGATATATATAGCCATGCAATTGTTTCTTTCATATCTGCACTGTTTCTTTTTATATATTCCCAGTCTCTTTTATTTTTCCTGTTATGTAATATAAACTGACATCTCCGCATTTATTTACATTTTGCCTGGGCAAATTATATTTATGGGAGGAATTTCACTCTTGTATTTGGAATGATTTGGAGTTTTGTTTTTGGGAACATGAAATAAATAGGGATCCCTTAACTTAGAAAGGTTCATATGCTGCTAAAATGCAACAGACCCAGAACTGTTGGCCTGCAAATTGTATAATTTTCTTCTTTGCGGTACTGCATTTGCATCCCCACACACAGCAGCAGCTCTAATTTTCTGCTATGAGAGACACCTACACTTGTATGTATAACAAATTTTTATGCTCTTTTTTTTTTTTTTTTTTTCAGGTAATGGTTTGGGCTGCATTCACAGTTCTGGCATCATGAATGGCTTCGAAATTGTAAGCATCTTCGTCTACGTGCTGGGTGGAGTGGTGGCTGCAATATTAGTCGTCATATACCTTCGCATCTGCAAAAACAAATTTTGCGCAAACAGCAGCATGAAGAAGCGTGGCTACAAGAAGCGTAGCTACAAGAAGCGTAGCTACAAGAAGCGTGGCTACAAGAAGCGTGGCTACAAGAAGCGTGGCTACCAGAAGCGTGGCTACCAGAAGCGTACCACTGCGGTTTTGGTGTGCTCTCACCTTTGCCGTTCTGGCCGGACGACGGACATTGAAAGCGGTTACGGTGGCAGCCAATATGGTGGCAGCTTTTACAACACTGTTGGCAATGGTGGAGGAGATTGTAACAGCGGTGGAGGTAGTGGCAGTGGGGGAGGGGGTTGTGACAGTGGGGGAGGTGGCTGTGGCCAGAGTGTCGAACCAGAAGTTTCATCTGCTTTGTACGATTACGACATCTCGACTTTCCGTGTGGGGCCGCTTCAGTTCTCTGTAGAATGTTATAGACCTCTTTCACGGCAAACGCTACCAGGAGGTGTTCCAGGCATTGACATCCCAGGAACTTCCGGTTCATAAAAAGTATGAACAAACCCCACTCTAACACCACTGCTTAAAATGTCAATGAAACATTTAACCTCCAATTTTCCAGGTGAACGCCAAAAGAACGAAGAAGCGCGAGATATGTTAAATATATTTGAATATTCGTGTGAAACAACTTGCTTCCTCCAGGACGTTAAGTTGACCAGCCGAGGGCCCTCGTTAAATCTCCAACTTTGATGTGCATGTAGCATTTATGCTTTCTAGCACTGGTGACATGAGCATGCTCGACAGACTTGCAAAGACGGAGCGACCGGAAGTCACCTGGGAGGCAGGAGGCAGTTCATGTTTGTAAACATTGTAAACAGCAAAAAGGTTTATATGGTTTGAACCGCTAAAGTGGGCACACTGGTTTCAACACTAGGCACTATTTCCGTCATAAAACGAGTAATTGTATGGACCCGTTTCGCAGGGGCCCTGCCATATTGAATTGTCACTTCCAGCATGGGCGAAAACATTGTTTTGCCGTTGCCACGCCACTGACATTTAGGATATAAGCATAACTGTGGCACATTCTCGTTTTGCCTCCCCTCTATTTTTTTTTAAACTATTTACAGGTGGAAATGCTTTATTATCTTTTCGTCACCCATACCGGATACGCCTAGTATTGGGTGACTGGGGACGATTGTACACGAAAAAGGTCTATTTGTAATTGATACAATCCACTTTTATTTTCAGGCACCAAAAATAAGAAATCGCATTATTTAGTTTCGACACAACAGTAAAAGAAAAAATGCGTTAACACACAAAACATTGTGTGTTAATGTTAATGTTGTTAAACACACAAGATATGCATTAACACACAAAACAACATACATACTCTACACCTCTTTTAGAGGGCAGCTCTTAGGCGCCCGTTTCCGGCTTAAGCGACGTCGGCGTAACCGTGAAATCACGTGACCCCCCTCGAGGTCATGTGATCCCTCCCCTCCAGGGTCACGTGACACCCCCCCCCCCGAAAACACGTGACCCCTCCCCCAAAGGGGGAGGAGGGAGGAGGAGGGGAGGAGTAGTAGTAGGGAGGATGAGGTGGTGAGGACGAGGGAGGAGGGATATACCCTCCCCTCAGTACCCTTCCCTCTTCCTCCCCCTCAAGAGCTGCGTTCCAATTCGGTGTTACAGGGTGTTGTAAACGTCTTTCCCTTTTTTTACACCCGTGATTGGCACAACTTTGCGTCGCAGTATTAAAAGTTATCGTAGTTGTAGTCTTGAAGTAAGGTATTAATTACAATGCACAATATCATGGAATGGGCACCTGATTGCTATACATATTGTAAAATATGTTTACGAAATACGTTTTACAGTTTATACGATGACGACGCGACAGCTAAAAACAATAATATTTTCAAAATTCGGCAGACACTTAAGACTACTTACTTGTGGGAATGCGAAAGTATGACGCACACACTAGGCATAGCTTTAGTCAGCCGGAACCGTGGAGGCGCCAAGGAAGCATGCTCGTCTCGCACTCCGGAGGTCCGGGTTCGATTCCCACCCAGACTGAAATCTAAGAAATTTTCCTTTCAAATTTATTAGTTTACTTAGTTTACAGGAAGCTCCCTGAAAATTTTTTCGCAGCCAATCGGAATTTAGGTGCCATTTTCTCCGGCTTCATTTAATGGGGCAGTTTATGCTTTTGCATTAATATCTTGAGAAAGTTTTAGGACTAGCCCTTTCAGCCTTCATTTTATAGAAACGCTGGGCAGCAATCACAACGCTTGTTTTCCTTACCATGATTGTTTGCACTCAGTACCAGGATGCAAGCGAAGAATCATGCAGAAAGTAGTGATTGAAACTGTTCACTCTAATCTATAAGCAGCTTCATACTCTGATCGAATCTGGTCTAAACTAGCGCTTGCCCTACCAAACATTTCATTCTCTTACACAGGATGAACTGGTATAGCCTGGCTGTTGAGGTTTCTTGTTGACAAGATGCCAATCAATTCAATATGCAAATAAGCATCACCCTTGCTAATTTATTACTTTTTTTGTTAAATCGACGTAGTGTTTTGTGTTCTACTCGACATCGCTGCTACTTAATTGGTCGCTTTCTGACGGTCTGTGTGCGTAATTGGCATAGTTCCGCCATGCTCCACTGTATACTGTTTTGTCCAGCCCACAGACACCTAAAATTGCTGTTCATCACATAAAAGAAGCAATACCAGCTAGACTTCTATAGGTTTGAGGAGTTATGTATCCATCAGAGAAACATAGTTATTTAAATCAGATTTAAAATTAGCAATTTGTTTAAGGCTCTCCCAAATCAATTATACACTTGCCTATCAAGGATAGAAACGCCAGAAAAGATTTGCAGAGCATTATTTCCGGGTTTTGGTGGAATTGAAAGAATATGGATTATGCCCATTGCATTGCACATGGTTTGGCAGCTATCTCGATACTCGCCAAAATGAGGTTAGATTTTTTATCTGTGTGTCTGAGCCATTTGCATCCTTATCTAGCATGCTACAAGGCTCTATTCTGGGATCGCTTTTGTTTTTGGTGTTTGTAAGCGATTTACCGTCATGTATTAAAAACTTAAAGATGCTAATGTTCGCCGATGACTTAAAATTGTTCCGCAAGGTAGACAAAGAAATTTACGGTTTATTGGTACGAAATGACATCCCGTTTGCTGTCAATGGTGTTTGATTAATATGCTGCAACTGAACCTAAAAAAGACGATGGTAATATCTTTTACTACGAAGAAGGAGAGCCTAGCTTTCGGCTATTCTATTTTTTATGAAAAAATATGGCGAGTACTTCACGTGCGTAAACTTCAACTTCTGTACATCCTCCTCTCGCCCTGATGGCAGCTTCCGTTGATTAGGGTTTACACAAACTAGGTCCTTGCATCCGCGAAGAAGCTCGCTTGAAAGTCATTGGCATACTTTCAAAGCTAAACCAAAGGAGGCGTTTGAACTTGAGCACGGAAAAAAGTTCCGCCCTCAGGAAGCTAAAGGAAGACAACAGAATTGTAATTCTTCCTGCTGACAAAAGAAAATATTACAGTGGTATTGAACTGCACGGTCTATGAGAAAAAGGTGCACAAACGTTTGAACACCAAAGCGTACACAACGTTACAGAAAGACCCAACATTAAAAATCCAAGGAATCTTAAACAAAGCACTTTACGCCGTCTTCAATAAATATCCGGAGACTCTGGCCCTCTACCTGAACTTTGTCTGCCGAAACGGCTCGACACCTGTGTTCTACGGCTTGCCAAAAGTCCACAAGCCTAAAATCCTGCTTCGTCCCATAGTCGACTTCACGCCGTCACCATTATGAGCGCTGTCAAATTATCTCCATCGTCTGTTTCTTCCACTCATGGGAATGACCAACACTCATGTCGAGAACACCGCCCTCTTCATCAAACTCTCTTCGGACCTGCAATTAAACGATGGCGAGTCTTCTGATGTGGTATCCCTCTCCACAAGTATTCCCATCCGACTCGCGGCGTCTGTTATCAGAACGGCACTCACGTCAGACTCGACTCTACCTGAAAGAACCCACCTCTCGGTGAATGAGATATGCTGCCTACTAGAACTGTGCCTGACGGATACCTACTTTTCTTTTGCTGGTCGCTTCTACAAGCGAAGTAGTGGCACAGCCATGGATGCTGCTGTGTCCGTCATGGTAGCCAACCTCATAATCGAAGCCATTGAGCAAAAAGCCCTAAGCATGTCTTCCCTCATACCCACTCTGTTTCTAAGTTACGTGGATGATTGCTTCTGTGTTGTCAAGACCAGCGAAGTCGACCGCCTTCACAAACACCTCAGTCGCATCGATCCAGACATTCAATTCACAGTCGAGCGTAAGTCTAATGGTTGCCTTCCATTTCTGGATGTGTCCGTGGAAAAAACAGGTACCCATTTAGCAGTGGTGTCACTGGGGTCAGCGGCACCCGGGGCAATGGCCACGCGGCGACCCCCCCAACTCATTGGCCGCCTCCAACCCGCCCGCTTGTCGATCTCAGCTGCGACTGATCGCTTGGCTCTTCCCTGTTTTGATGCATACGTTATATCGTTTGGTAAAGCTTGAACACTGTGCAGCTGCAGAACTTGTCTCAGGGAATCTCAAGTGAAGTTTGCTCTTGCCTCGCAGTTCACATATTTTAGATCATCGCAGGAACGTAGACCAAAATATAAGAATTTATGCTATGATAAGGGCACTGTGCTGTTGTATTAAAAAAAATTCCTACATTGATTCTTTTTATTTGTAGTTACTGGTAAAGTGTTCATAAAAGAGGAATACAGCAGGTTTCATTTAAAAAGAAAATTGTCTCGATCACCTTCAGCATTTGTGGTGGCAACTTATATTTCTACCAGCCACATGGGTCAAGCCAACACAAGTACCAAGTTCAAAGTGTAAACCCTGCATTCTGTCCAGTGGTTCAACTGAGATCAGTTTTTTTTTTTTTTTTATTCTGGGGCCTTCATAAAACACTGTTTGATAAGCCACTGAAGTATGCCTAGAAAAGGCCATTTCCAGTAGAAATGGTTGTTAGCCACAGTGCGTAACGATTGCGAAATAACTTCCTAGCAGATAATAAATTAACCAATTAGCATTTCTTAAAATTATTCCAACTCTTACTGCTGCTGGACAAAACCAAGCAGTATGATAGGGTTGCATGTGGGGAAATAAAACTTCGTTGATACTGTTTTAAAGTGCATAATGTGTCTTTCCAAACTATATACCCATGCCACTATATCGGCATCGTGAAATGAAAAATCTGCGAAGGATAGAAAGCAGTAACTTAAAAAATCTCGTATTTAACTTGCCAAAAAAAAAAAAAACACTGATTTTATTGACCACTTTTTATAGTGATACTATTTTATATAATTATTCCTCTGGTCAGTTACGGGTCAGATTTTATTTCTATTGTGTGATATTTTTATATCTGCTTAAGGGGCATTTTTGAGTGCACTTTCCAGGCTGTGCCACTTTGTTGCCTCGTTTGAACTTGTTGAGTTATATCTTACTATAGGTAAATACTTCGAAGACAAACTCAACCTGAACATATTGGTACAAAATATTTCAAAATGTCTAGCTTGTCTTTTCACAGTGAGATCACGGTTTAGGAAAGCAAAATGTTCTAGAATGTTTATCAGCTCTGACGTCATCCTGCTGCGGTGGCGCTGCTGTCTGCATGGCACATGCGCAGACGCTTCACACAAATCTCCTTTCTGCGCATGGAGAGTGGCCACGGCTGGAGAGGGCAATCGGGGATTTG